GAATATTGCACTATACCAGGCATACAAAATTATACTATAACTCATGTATAAAGCCTGCATTATAATGACTATATACTGTATTATAATGAATTAAAATGACTATAGTGTATTATAATGACTGCAAGTCGCCAATCCCTGCTGCAGAAACAAAAGTTTAAATTTATACATTGAAAATGCAAGAGAAATGAAAGCTTGAAAATGAAGGAGAAATTGAGTTTTCTAAGCAATCAAAAAGCATACTATTAGCTTGAGCATATAATATGTAATAGCAACACCACTTTATGTCATTTAGCATTTTAAATACGAGCTTACAAGATCGATCTCTATAAAGGTCAGCTCACAATTTTTTTCTGGCAATCACAAGGTCTGTAGCACACAATAGCAAGAACAAAAAACTTTTCTTTGAGGTCTGTTATCCTCAAATACTCTTAACTTGTGTTGCTGTACTTGTATTCTTACATTAAACAATTGTCATACAACACTTCTGGTTGCTTTGAACTGACCTCAGCCACTCAATCAAAATCCACAATGTACATGTACACCCATTACTACTGTATCAGGATATCATAATGACTTGCAATAGGATTATATGTAGCACCAGTAATTGTATTTATACAGTAATTGGGTTATTGTGCTATTGTTAGAGTATAATAGAGACTCACTCACCCTAGAGTGGTCGTTATGTTCTGACTAAAAGTATCATGAACGAAGCGTCCTACGAGACTGGTTTTACCTACACCAACATCCTACAACAATAGAGAGAGATAGTTAAGAGATTGAAGGAGGAGAGGGCTTACTCCTAAGAGGCAAACTTTGACTTCTCTCACTGACATTGTTGAATCTGAATCTGTGGAATTGCTGATCGAACAACCCCGCCTCTTAGCGGGTTTGGGCGGGGTTTAGTAATGCGCATGCGCAGAACTATTCTGGAAATCCTAATCAGCTGATGACTACATTTTTAGCAAACAAAAGCTTAACAAGCCATTCACTACTGTTTGTATTGTAATGACATTCTATAGTGTTCAAAATAAATAAAAGAAAAACACATTAATCGAATGAAAAAAAGAAATGAACAACAATAATTATATTAATTATTATATTTTTAATTTTATGTTTTTGGTATCACAGAGTTGTAGTGCTTTCCAAGGCTGAACTCGTGAGAATGATACCTAACAAATCACAAAAACATTAATAACATAATAATAATATATCACACGATCTAATTCATCAGTTATTTATATAATATTTTTAACTAGTTTTTTGCATACCCACTTTGGGCCACTTAGTCCGGTGTATTTTTGGTGAATTTTTTTTATTAGCTTAATATGATGGCCTGACCATAATAATGATGTATTCCAACTCCCATTGTCTTAAAAAAATTTTTCACTGAGATACCGTATAGCGGGTTTTTTTCGAGGATAATAAATTTCGCGAATGACCTGTATCCGGAAGTTTGCGAAATTAATTTTCGCGAATTTCCACTATTCTGCCAT